AGGCTCTATCATAGACTGATATGCAAATGAGAAGGTATCAATACCAGAGTGATATGCTAATGTGGCTCCATCGATAGCAGAAGTATATGCAAATGGCGCGGTGTCGCTATCAGTTGATATGCAAATGAGATGATCAATATCTAGAGATATGCTAATGAGGTGGTATCGAGATCAGAATTCCATGCAAATGAGACAACATCGATATCAGACTGGTATGCAAATGAGGCGGTGTCAATAGATGAACTATATGCAAATGAGGCTGTATCAACATCAGAGTGATATGCAAATGAGGCTGTATTGATAGCAGAATTATACACAACTGAAACAATGTCAATATCAGTTGATATGCAAATGAGATTGTATCAATACCAGAATGATATGCAAATGAGGCTGTATCGATATCAGAATTCCATGCAAATGAGACATCGATATCAGACTGGTATGCAAATTAGGCAGTGCCAATAGATGAATGAGATGCAAATGAGGCTGTATTGATAGCAGAACTATATGCAAATGAGGCTGCATCAATATCACAATAAGCGAATGAGGCCATATCAATATGGTCATTTTATGCAAATGAGTTGGTGCCAATAGCTGCACGATATGCAAATGAGGTGCTGCCAATATCGGAATATGTAAATGAGGCTGTCAATACATGAGTGATATGTAAATGAAGCTGTGTCAATACCAATGATATGCAAATGAGAGTGCGGCAATAGCAAAATGATATGCAAATGAAGCAGAGCACATATCCAGGTGTTATGCAAATGAGGCATGGCCGATATTCAAATTATATGCAAATGAGGCCACATCCATCCATCTCTCAAAAACTTGTGGGGAAATTCCTCAAAATCCCAAAAATGCGAAAAATCCCCAAAAATGCCAAAAAATCCCAAAAATCTGAAAATTAAAAAAACCAAAAATCCCAAAAATCCCAAAATCCCAAAAATCCCATAAATCCCATAAATCCCATAAATCCCAAAAACCCCAAAAATCCCAAAAAACCTCAAAACCCCAAAAAACCAAAAATCCCAAAAACCCAAAAAACCAAAAATCCCAAAAATACGAAAAATGCGAAAAATCCCAAAATACCCAAAAACCCCAAAAAATCAAAAATCCCAAATACCCCAAAAACCCCATAAATCCCAAAAATCCCAAAAACCCCAAAAATCCCAAAAATCCCAAAACCCAAAAATGCAAAAAACCCCAAAAATGCGAAAAATTGGAAAAATCTCAAAAACCCAAAACCCCATAAATCCCATAAATCCCAAAATCCCATAAATCCCATAAATCCCAAAATCCCATAAATCCATAAATCCCATAAATCCCATAAATCCATAAATCCCATAAATCCATAAATCCCAAAAATGCGAAAAAACCCAAAATCCCAAAATTCCAAAAGTGCGAAAAATCCCAAAAAACCCAAAAATGCGAAAAATGCGAAAAATCCCAAAAATGCGAAAAATCCCATAAATCCCAAAAATGTGAAAAATCCCAAAACCCCAAAAACCCCAAAAATCCTAAAAACCCCAAAATCCCATAAATCCCAAAAATCCATAAATCCCATAAATCCCAAAAACCCCAAAAATGCGAAAAACCCCAAAATCCCAAAATTCCAAAAGTGCAAAAAATCCCAAAAAACCCCAAAAAACCCAAAAATCCCATAAATGTGAAAAATCCCAAAAATCCCAAAAACCCAAAAATGCGAAAAATCCCATAAATCCCAAAAATGTGAAAAATCCCAAATTCCCAAAAATGCGAAAAAACCCAAAATCCCAAAATCCCAAAAATGCGAAAAATGCGAAAAATCCCAAAAATCCCAAAAATGTGAAAAATCCCAAAATTTCAAAAATGCGAAAAATCCCAAAAATGCAAAAAATCCCAAAAACCCAAAAATGCGAAAAATCCCATAAATCCCAAAAATGTGAAAAATCCCATAAATCCCAAAAATGCGAAAAATCCCAAAAATCCCAAAATCCCAAAAAACCAAAAATCCCAAAAACCCCAAAATGCGAAAAATCCCAAAAACCCAAAAATGCGAAAAATCCCATAAATCCCAGAAATGTGAAAAATCCCAAAATCCCAAAAATGTGAAAAAACCCAAAATCCCAAAAACCCAAAAATGCGAAAAATCCCATAAATCCCAAAAATGCGAAAAATCCCAAAAACCCCAAAAATCCCATAAATCCCAAAAACCCCAAAACCCCAAAAATCCCAAAAACCCCAAAATGCGAAAAATCCCATAAATCCCAAAAATCCCAAAAACCCCAAAATCCCAAAAACCCCAAAAATCCCATAAATCCCAAAAATCCCAAAAATCCCATAAATCCCATAAATCCCAAAAACCCAAATAACCAAAAATCCCAAAAATACGAAAAATGCAAAAAATCCCAAAATACCCAAAAATCCCAAAAACCCCAAAAATCCCAAAAACCCCAAAATCCCAAAAATCCCATAAATCCCATAAATCCCATAAATCCCATAAATCCCATAAATCCCATAAATCCCAAAAATCCCATAAATCCCAAAAATCCCAAAAATCCCATAAATTCCATAAATCCCAAAATCCCATAAATCCCAAAAACGCAAAAATCCAAAAATCCCATAAACCCAAAAATGCGAAAAATGCGAAAAATCCCAAAAATCCCAAAACCCAAAAATGCAAAAAATCCCATAAATCCCAAAAATGTGAAAAAGCCCAAAATCCCAAAAATGCGAAAAATGCGAAAAATCCCAAAACCCCAAAAATACAAAAAATCCCAAAAATGCGAAAAATCCCATAATCCCAAAATCCCATAAATCCCATAAATCCATAAATCCATAAATCCCGTAAATCCCATAAATCCCAAAAACCCAAAAAACCAAAAATCCCAAAAATACGAAAAATGCGAAAAATCCCAAAAATCCCAAAAATGTGAAAAATCCCAAAAACCCAAAATCCCAAAAATCCCATAAATCCCATAAACCCCAAAAATCCCATAAATCCCAAAAACCCAAAAAACCAAAAATCCCAAAAATACGAAAAATCCCAAATCCCAAAAAATCCAAAAACCCCAAAATCCAAAAAACCCCAAAAACCCCAAAACCCCAAAAATCCCAAAAATCCCAAAAATCCCATAAATCCCAAAAATGTGAAAAATCCCAAAAATGCGAAAAATCCCATAAATCCCAAAAATCCCATAAATCCCATAAATCCCATAAATCCCATAAACCCCAAAAACCCCAAAAAACCAAAAATCCCAAAAACCCAAAAATGCGAAAAATCCCATAAATCCCATTAATCCCATAAATCCCAAAAATCCCAAAAATCCCATAAATCCATAATTCCCATAAATCCCATAAATCCATAAATCCCATAAATCCCATAAATCCATAAATCCATAAATCCCAAAAATCCCATAAATCCCATAAATCCCAAAAATCCCAAAAACCCCAAAAATCCCATAAAAATCCCAAAATTCCCAAATCCCAAATTACCGACGAGGGAAGTCCCGGAGGAACTTTCCGGATTTTCTTTGTCTGAACTTCTGGAAAAAATGGGGGAAAAAATGGGAATTTTGGGGTTTTTGGGGTTTTTGGGATTTTGGGATTTTGGGATTTTGGGATTTATGGGATTTATGGGATTTATGGATTTATGCGATTTATGGGATTTATGGGATTTTTGGGGTTTATGGGATTTATGGGATTTATGGGATTTTTGGGGTTTATGGGATTTATGGATTTGTGGGATTTATGGGATTTTTGGGGTTTATGGGATTTTTGGGGTTTATGGGATTTATGGGATTTATGGATTTATGTATTTTATGGGATTTATGGGATTTATGGGATTTATGGGATTTATGGGATTTATGGGATTTATGGGATTTATGGGATTTATGGAGATTTGGGGATTTGGGGGTTTTTGGGATTTATGGGATTTTTGGGATTTATGGGATTTATGGGATTTATGGGATTTATGGATTTATGGATTTTATGGGATTTATGGATTTATGGGATTTATGGGATTTATGGGATTTTTGGGAATTTTGGGATTTTTGAGCGGTTTTAGTGGTTTGGGGATTTATGGGATTGATAGGATTTTTGGGATTTTTGGGTTTTTTGGGATTTTTTGTGGGTTTTTGGGGGTTTTTGGGGGTTTTGGGGGTCTGGAGCTCACTGGGATTTAAGGGATTTTTTTTATGGGATTTTTGGGAATTTTGGGATTTTTGAGCGGTTTTAGTGGTTTGGGGATTTATGGGATTGATAGGATTTTTGGGATTTTTGGGTTTTTTGGGATTTTTTGTGGGTTTTTGGGGGTTTTTGGGGGTTTTGGGGGTCTGGAGCTCACTGGGATTTAAGGGATTTTTGGGATTTATGGGATTTTTGGGTCTTTTGGCATTTTTGGGGGTTTGGGATTTTTGGGATTTATGGGATTTATGGGGATTTATGGGATTTTTGGCATTTCTGGGGTTTTGGGATTTATGGGATTTTTATGGGATTTTTGGGTTTTTTGGTTATTTTTGGGGTCTTGGGGGTTTTAGGGTTTTGTGGAATTTTGGGATTTATGGGATTTTTTGGGATTTTTGGGATTTCTGGGATTTTTGGGGTCACTCACCCACAGAAGATCCGTGCAGGGGTCTGGGGCTCACTGGGATTTATGGGATTTTTGGGATTTATGGGATTTTTGGGATTTTTTTGGAGTTTTTTTTTTGGGTTTTGGGATTTATGGGATTTTTGGGATTTATGGGATTTTTATGGGATTTTATGGGATTTTTGGGGGTTTGGGGATGTATAGGATTTTTGGGATTTATGGGATTTTTGGGATTTTTGTGGTTTTTGGGGATTTTTTTGGTTTTTTTGGGGTCTGGGGCTCACAGGGATTTATGGATTTATGGGATTTTTATGGGATTTTTATGGGATTTTTGGGGATTTATGGGATTTATGGGATTTATGGGATTTATGGATTTATGGGTTTTTGGGATTGTTGGTTTTTTTGGGGTTTTTATGGCATATTTGGGGGTTTGGGGATTTATAGGGTTTTTGGGATTTATGGGATTTATGGGTTTTATGGGATTTTTGGTTTTTTTGGGAGTTTTTGGGGGTTTTGGTGTTTTTGGGGTTTTGGGATTTATGGGATTTTTGAGGTTTTTGGGATTTTTGGGGTTTTTGGGATTTTTGGAATTTATGGGATTTATGGGATTTATAGGATTTATGGGATTTATGGGATTTATGGGATTTTTTTGTGGTTTTTGGCGGTTTGGGGGTTTTGGGGCTCACTGGGATTTATGGGAATTTTGGGATTTTGGGGATTTATGGGATTTTTTGGTTTTTTTGGTGTTTTTCGTGGGTTTGGGATTTATGGGATCTTTGGGATTTTTGGGATTTATGGGATTTTTGGGATTTATGGGGTTTTTGGGATTTTTGGGGTCACTCACCCACAGAGGATCCGTGCAGGGGTCTGGGGCTCACTGGGATTTTTGAGGTTTTTATAGGATTTATGGGATTTTATGGGGATATATGGGATTTTTGGCATTTTTGGGAGTTTTTGGGATTTATGGGATTTATGGGATTTATGGGATTTATGGGATTTATGGGATTTATGGGATTTTTGGGATTTATGGGATTTAGGGATTTATGGGATTTTTGGGATTTATGCATTTATGGGATTTATGGATTTATGGGATTTTTGGGATTTTTGGGATTTATGGATTTATGGGATTTTTGGGATTTATGGGATTTATGGGATTTATGGGATTTATGCATTTATGGGATTTATGGGATTTATGGGATTTATGCATTTATGGGATTTATGGGATTTATGGGATTTATGGGACTTTTGGGATTTATGGGATTTATGGGATTTATGGATTTATGGGATTTTTGGGATTTATGGGATTTTTGGGGTTTTTGGGATTTATGTGATTTTGGGATTTTTGGGATTTATGGGATTTTTGGGATTTTATGGATTTATGGGATTTATGGGATTTTTGGGGATTTTTTGGGGTTTTTGGAGATTTATGCGATTTATGGGATTTTTGGGATTTATGGGATTTATGGATTTATGGGATTTTATGTGATTTTTGGGATTTTTGGGATTTTGGGGATTTATGGGATTTATGGGATTTATGGGATTTTTGGGATTTATGGGATTTATGGATTTAGGGGATTTATGGGATTTAGGGGATTTATGGATTTATGGGATTTTTGGGATTTATGGGATTTATGGATTTAGGGGATTTATGGGATTTAGGGGATTTATGGATTTATGGGATTTTTGGGATTTATGGGATTTATGGATTTATGGGATTTATGGGATTTATGGGATTTATGGGATTTATGGGATTTATGGGATTTGGGGATTTATGGGATTTTTGGGATTTATGGGATTTATGGGATTTTTGGGATTTATGGGATTTATGGGATTTATGGGATTTATGGATTTATGGGATTTATGGGATTTATGGGATTTATGGGATTTATGGATTTATGGGATTTATGGGATTTATGGGATTTATGGGATTTATGGGATTTTGGGATTTATGGATTTATGGGATTTATGGGATTTATGGGATTTTTGGGATTTATGGGATTTATGGGATTTTTGGGATTTATGGGATTTATGGGGTTTATGGGATTTTTGGGATTTATGGGATTTTTGGGATTTATGGATTTATGGGATTTATGGGATTTTTGGGATTTATGGGATTTATGGGATTTATGGGATTTATGGATTTATGGGATTTATGGGATTTATGGGATTTATGGATTTATGGGATTTATGGGATTTATGGGATTTATGGGATTTATGGATTTATGGGATTTATGGGATTTTTGGGATTTATGGGATTTATGGGATTTTGGGATTTATGGGATTTATGGGATTTATGGGATTTATGGATTTATGGGATTTATGGATTTATGGGATTTATGGGATTTATGGGATTTATGGATTTATGGAATTTTTGGGGTTTATGGGATTTATGGGATTTATGGGATTTATGGATTTATGGGATTTTGGGATTTATGGGATTTTTGGGATTTTGGGATTTTTGGGGTTTTTGGGATTTTTGGGGTTTTTGGGATTTTTGGGATTTTTGGGGTTTTTTGGGGTTTTTGGGGTGTTTTAGGGGTTTTGTGGTTTATGGGATTTCTGGGATTTCTGGGATTTCTGGGATTTTTGGGATTTTTTGGGATTTATGGGATTTATGGGATTTATGGGATTTATGGGATTTATGGGATTTTTTGCATTTTTGGGATTTATGGATTTATGGGATTTATGGCATTTATGGGATTTATGGATTTATTGGATTTATGGGATTTTTTAGGTTTTTATGGGATTTTGGGATTTTATGGGATTTTTGGCATTTTGGGGGGTTTGGGGATGTATAGGATTTTTGGGATTTTTGGGATTTTTGGGAATTTTAGGGTTTTTGGGATTTTGGGGTCACTCACCCACAGAGGATCCGTGCAGGGGTCTGGGGCTCACTGGGATTTATGGGATTTATGGGATTTATGGGATTTATGGGATTTATGGGATTTTTATGGGATTTATGGGATTTTTGGCGTTTTTGGGGGTTTTGGGATTTATGGGGTTTATGGGATTTATGGGATTTTTGGGATTTATAGGATTTATGGGATTTTTGGGATTTTTGGGGTCACTCTCCCACAGAACATCCGTGCAGGGCTCAGTGGGATTTATGGGATTTATGGGATTTATGGGGTTTTTTATGGGATTTTTGGGATTTTTTGGGATTTTTGGGGTTTTTAGGGATCTGGGGGTCACTGGGATTTTTGGGATTTTTGGGATTTATGGGATTTTTGGGATTTTATGGGGATTTATGGGATTTATGGCCTTTTTGGGGGTTTTTGGGTTTGTTGAGGTTTTTGGGATTTATGGGATTTATGGGATTTATGGGATTTTTGGGATTTTTTGGGATTTTTGGGGTTTTTTGGGGTCTGGGGATCACTGGGATTTATGGGATTTTTGAGGCTTTTATGGGATTTATGGGATTTTTGGGATTTATGGGATTTATGGATTTATGGGATTTATGGGATTTTTGGGATTTTTGGGATTTTTGGGATTTATGGGATTTTTGGGATTTTGGGGTCACTCACCCACAGAAGATCCGTGCAGGGGTCTGGGGCTCACTGGGATTTATGGCATTTATGGGATTTTTATGGGATTTTTGGGATTTTTGGGTTTTTTGGGGTTTTTGGGATTTATGGGATTTATGGATTTATGGGATTTATGGGATTTATGGGATTTGGGGATTTATGGGATTTTTGGGATTTATGGGATTTATGGGATTTATGGAATTTTTGGCATTTATGGGATTTTTGGGGTTTTTGGGATTTTTGGGATTTTTGGGATTTTTGGGATTTATGGGATTTATGGGATTTATGGAAATTTGAGATTTATGGGATTTATGGGATTGATGGATTTATGGGATTTATGGGTTTTATGGGATTTTTTAGTTTTTACGGGATTTTTTGGTGTTTTTTGGGGGTTTTGGGGTGTTTTAGGGGTTTTGGGGGTTTGGGATTTATGGGATTTATGGATTTATGGGATTTATGGCATTTATGGGATTTATGGATTTATGGGTTTTTGGGATTTATGGATTTATGGAAATTTGGGATTTGGGATTTATGGGATTTTTGGGATTTATGGGATTTATGGGATTTTTGGGATTTATGGATTTATGGGATTTTTGGGATTTATGGGATTTATGGGATTTTTGGGATTTATGGGATTTTTGGGATTTATGGGATTTTTGGGATTTCTGGGATTTATGGGATTTTTGGGATTTATGGGATTTATGGGATTTTTTGGATTTTTGGGATTTTTGGGGTTTTTGGGGTCACTCACCCACAGAAGATCCATGCAGGGCTCACTGGGATTTATGGGATTTATGGGATTTATGGGGTATTTGGGATTTATGGGATTTATGGGATTTTTTTAGGTTTTTATGGGATTTTGGGGATTTTTGGCGTTTTGGGGTTTTTTGGGACTTGTGGGATTTGTGGGATTTTTGGGATTTATGGGATTTATGGGATTTTTGAGTTTTTTATGGGATTTTTGGGTTTTTTGGGAGTTTTTGGGGTTAATGGGATTTTTGGGATTTATAGGATTTATGGGATTTTTGGGATTTATGGGATTTATGGGATTTTTGGGATTTTTTTTGATTTTTGGGGTTTTTTGGGGTCTGGGGCTCACTGGGATTTATGGGATTTTTGAGGTTTTTATGGGATTTTTGGGTTTTTGGGAGTTTTTGAGTTTTTTTGGGGGGTTTTGGGGATTTCGGGCTTTTTGGGATTTTTGGGATTTTTGGGAATTTTGGGATTATTGGGATTTTTGGGGTCACTCACCCACAGAAGATCCGTGCAGGGGTCTGGGGCTCACTGGGATTTATGGGATTTTTGAGGTTTTTTATGGGATTTTTGGGTTTTTTGGTGTTTTTCGTGGGTTTGGGATTTATGGGATCTTTGGGATTTTTGGGATTTATGGGATTTCTGGGATTTTTGGGATTTTGGGGTCACTCACCCACAGAGGATCCGTGCAGGGGTCTCCGGCGCGCGCTGGTCCCGTACTGGTAGAACTGGGAGCTCGGCTTGGTGGGGGAGAGCGCTCCGGGATTGGCCAATTCCAACCCCAAATCCTGATCAAAAATCCCAAATTAGATCCCAAATCCGATCCCAAAACCTATCCCGAATCCCACCCAAAAATTACCCCAAATCCGATCCCAAATCCCAAATCTGATCCCAAATCTGATCCCAAATCTGACCTCAAAATTCACCCCAAATCCGACCCCAAATCCGATCCCAAATTTAATCCCAAATCTGACCCCAAAACTGATCCCAAATCTGACCCCAAATCCCAAATCCCACCCCAAATCCTGATCCCAAATCCCAAATCTGATCCCAAATCTGATCCCAAATCTGATCCCAAATCCGATCCCAAATCTGATCCCAAATCCGACCCCAAATCCCAAATCAGATCCCAAATCCCAAATCCGATCCCAAATCCGACCCCAAATCCGACCCCAAGTCCCAAATCAGACCCCAAATCCGACCCCAAATCTGATCCCAAATCCCAAATTTGATCCCAAATCCGACCCCAAATCCCAAATCAGATCCCAAATCCTGATCCCAAATCCCACCCCAAAAATTATCCCAAATCCCACCTCAAATCCCAAATCTGACCCCAAATCTGATCCCAAATCCGACCCCAAATCTGATCCCAAATCCCAAATCTGATCCCAAATCCGACCCCAAAACTCATCCAAAAATTTACCCCAAAAATTATCTCAAAATCCGATCCCAAATCCGATCCCAAATCCCAAATCTGATCCCAAATCCAACCCCAAATCTGATCCCAAATCCCAAATCTGATCCCAAATCTGATCCCAAATCTGATCCCAAATCTGATCCCAAATCCGATCCCAAAACTGACCCCAAATCCTGATCCCAAATCTGATCCCAAATCCGATCCCAAATCAGATCCCAAATCTGATCCCAAATCTGACGCCAAATCCGATCCCAAATCTGATCCCAAATCCCAAATCTGATCCCAAATCCCAAATCTGATCCCAAATCCCAAATCCGACCCCAAATCTGATCCCAAATCCCAAATCCGATCCCAAATCCCAAATCTGACCCCAAATCCTGATCCCAAATCCCAAATCAGACCCCAAATCCGATCCCAAAATTTATCCCAAATCTGACCCCAAATCCGATCCCAAATCTGATCCCAAATCTGATCCCAAATCCTGATCCCAAATCCCAAATCCGACCCCAAATCCGACCCCAAATTCCAAATCCCGATCCCAAATCCCAAATCTGATCCCAAATCCGATCCCAAATCTGATCCCGAATCTGATCCCAAAATTTACCCCAAATCTGACCCCAAATCCGACCCCAAAATTTATCCCAAATTCCACCCCAAAACTGATCCCAAATCCGATCCCAAATCCGATCCCTAATTTGACCCCAAATCCCAAATCCGATCCCAAATCTGACCCCAAATCCGACCCCAAATCTGATCCCAAATCCCAAATCCGATCCCAAATCCCACCCCAAAAATTACCCCATATCTGATCCCAAATCCCACCCCAAAACTGACCCTAAATCTGACCCCAAATCCCAAATCCGACCCCAAAACTGATCCCAAATCCCAAATCTGATCCCAAATCCCAAATCCGATCCCAAATCCGATCCCAAATCCCAAATCTGATCCCAAATCTGATCCCAAATCCCAAATCTGATCCCAAATCTGATCCCAAATCCCAAATCTGATCCCAAATCTGATCCCAAATCTGACCCCAAATCCCAAATCTGATCCCAAATCTGACCCCAATTCCGATCCCAAATCCCAAATCTGACCCCAAATCTGATCCCAAATCTGATCCCAAATCCAACCCCAAATCCTGATCCCAAATCCCAAATCAGACCCCAAATCTGATCCCAAAAATTACCCCAAATCCGACCCCAAAATTTATCCCAAATCCCACCCCAAAAATTACCCCAAATCTGATCCCAAATCCCAAATCAGATCCCAAATCTGATCCCAAAAATTACCCCAAATCCGACTCCAAATCCCAAATCTGATCCCAAATCCGACCCCAAATCCGATCTCAAATCTGACCCCAATTCTGATCCCAAATCCCAAATCAGATCCCAAATCCCAAATCCGATCCCAAATCTGACCCCAAATCCGACCACAAATCCCAAATCTGATCCCAAATCTGATCCCAAATCTGATCCCAAATCCCAAATCCGATCCCAAAACTCATCCCAAAATCCCAAATCAAATCCCAAATCCGATCCCAAATCTGATCCCATATCTGATCCCAAAACTTATCCCAAATCCCACCCCAAAAATTACCCCAAATCCGACCCCAAAAATTACCCCAAATCCGATCCCAAATCTGATCCCAAATCCCAAATCCGACCCCAAATCCCAAATCTGACCCCAAATCTGACCCCAAAATTTATCCCAAATCCCACCCCAAAAATTACCCCAAATCCTGATCCCAAATCCCAAATCAGATCCCAAATCTGATCCCAAAAAATGTCCCAAATCCCACCCCAAAAATTACCCCAAATCCGATCCCAAATCCGATCCCAAATCCCAAATCCGACCCCAAATCCCAAATCTGACCCCAAATCCCAAATCTGATCCCAAATCTGACCCCAAATCTGATCCCAAATCCCAAATCCGATCCCAAATCTGACCCCAAATCTGATCCCAAATCCCAAATCCGATCCCAAATCGGATCCCAAATCCGACCCCAAAAATTACCCCAAATCCGATCCCAAATCCCAAATCCGATCCCAAATCTGATCCCAAATCTGATCCCAAATCTGATCCCAAATCCCAAATCCCACCCCAAAAATTACCCCAAAACTCATCCCAAAATCCGACCCCAAATCTGATCCGAAATCTGATCCCAAATCCGACCCCAAATCCCAAATATGATCCCAAATCTGATCCCAAAAATTACCCCAAATCCGATCCCAAATCCCAAATCCGACCCCAAATCCGACCCCAAATCTGATCCCAAATCCCAAATCCGACCCCAAATCCGATCCCAAAAATTATCCCAAATCCGATCCCAAATCCCAAATCCAACCCCAAATCCTGATCCCAAATCCCAAATCTGACCCCAAATCCGACCCCAACACTTATCCCAAATCTGATCCCAAATCTGATCCCAAATCCGATCCCAAATCCTGATCCCAAATCCCAAATCCGATCCCAAATCCGATCCCAAATCCGACCCCAAATCCGACCCCAAATCCCAAATCCGACCCCAAATCTGATCCCAAATCTGACCCCAAAACTTATCCCAAATCTAATCCCAAATCCCAAATCTGACCCCAAATCCCAAATCTGACCCCAAATCCTGACCCCAAATTCGATCCCAAATCCCAAATCCGACCCCAAATCTGATCCCAAATACGATCCCAATTCCGACCCCAAAACTCATCCCAAATCCCACCCCAAAAATTATCCCAAATCCGATCCCAAATCCCAAATCTGACCCCAAATCCGATCCCAAATCCCACCCCAAAAATTACCCCAAATCCGATCCCAAATCAGATCCCAAATCCCAAATCTGATCCCAAATCTGACCCCAAATCTGATCCCAAATCCGATCCCGAAATTTACCCCAAATCCGACCCCAAATCCCAAATCCGATCCCAAATCTGATCCCAAATCTGATCCCAAATCCCAAATCTGATCCCAAATCCGATCCCGAATCTGATCCCAAATCCGATCCCAAAATTTATCCCAAATCCCACCCCAAATCCTGATCCCAAATCCCAAATCAGATCCCAAATCTGATCCCAAAAATTACCCCAAATTCCACCCCAAATCCAACCCCAAAATCCAACCCCAAATCTGATCTGAAATCCCAAATCTGATCCCAAATCCCAAATCAGACCCCAAATCCGATCCCAAAACTTATCCCAAATCCCACCCCAAAAATTAGCCCAAATCCCACCCCAAATCTGACCCGAAATCCCAAATCCGATCCCAAATCCGATCCCAAAACTTATCCCAAATCCGATCCCAAATCCCAAATCAGATCCCAAATCCGACCCCAAAATTTATCCCAAATCCCACCCCAAAAATTACCCGAAATCCGATTCCAAATCTAATCCCAAATCCCAAATCTGATCCCAAATCCGATCCCAAATCCGATCCCAAATCTGATCCCAAATCCGACCCCAAAATTCACCCCAAATCCGATCCCAAATCCCAAATCCAACCCCAAATCTGATTCCAAATCCCAAATCAGATCCCAAATCTGACCCCAAATCCCACCCCAAAAATGGCCCCAAATCCGATCCCAAATCTGATCCCAAATCCGATCACAAAAATTACCCCAAATCCGACCCCAAATCCCAAATCAGATCCCAAATCCAATCCCAAAAAATGTCCCAAATCCCACCCCAAAAATTACCCCAAATCCTGATCCCAAATCCCAAATCAGATCCCAAATCCGATCCCAAATCCGATCCCAAATCTGATCCCAAATCCCAAATCCAATCCCAAATCCGATCCCAAATCCGATCCCAAAAATTATCCCAAAACTTATCCCAAATCCCACCCCAAATCCGATCCCAAATCCCAAATCCGATCCCAAATCCGACCCCAAATCTGATCCCAAATCCAACCCCAAATCCCAAATCTGATCCCAAATCTGATCCCAAATCCCAAATCCGATCCCAAATCCCAAATCTGATCCCAAATCTGATCCCAAATCTGACCCCAAATCTGATCCCAAATCTGATCCCAAATCTGATCCCAAATCTGATCCCAAATCTGATCCCAAATCCCAAATCTGATCCCAAATCCTGATCCCAAATCCCAAATCTGACCCCAAATCCCAAATCTGATCCCAAATTCGACCCCAAATCCCAAATCTGATCCCAAATCTGACCCCAAATCCCAAATCCGACCCCAAATCTGATCCCAAATCCCAAATATTCCATATTATTAAATATTATTTATTTACCCAAAATTAATTTTTATATATTTTATTTTATATAGAATGGGGTATATGTTTTATATTATTAAATATAAATATTATTAAATTCTAATTTTTTTATTTTATATGGAATGGGTTATAAATGTTATATTATTAAATAT